ATTGATCTTTTCCAGTCAGTTGGCCAGCTGGCTGTTCTCCAGATTTCTTGGCACAATTTAGTGAGCACATCCAGGGCAGCGTCTGTTTGTTGAAACATGTCAATTGATATGCTGTCAACTCCTGGAGCCTTTTTTTTGCCAATTCTTTCAGAGCAACTTGAACTTCCTCCTTCATCACCACAGATTTTTGCTCATAGCAGTGATAATCCTAGAGCCACAACCTCTTCTAAACCCAGCTTGAACTGCTGGCAGCTCTCTGTCAGTGTACTCTTTTGGCCATTTTGGGTTGGTCTACAGCAATGTTTTGCTTGCATGTTAAATTATTGTTCAATAATTTCCACATTCTGTTTGATCACTTTTCTTGGGAATGGGACCACATACGGATCCCTTCAAGTGAGTCAAGACAGCCAAGTAACTGTCCTCTAAATTTCCTTACATAGACTGTTGAGCATGTCCAGGGCTCCTCTATTAGTTGAAAGGAAGCATCAAAAGATGTTCATTTGTAGTCTGTGGATTTGTGGAGCTTTATTTTTTGCCAGTTCCTTCAGTGCAGCTTCAGTGTCTTCATTCATTACCATTGCCTCTTTTTCATATAGTATTTCCTAAAATTTTTCCTTGTCAGCCAATTCTTTTTGATAGAGTAATTCTGTGTATGACTTCCATTTTATTTTTATTTTATTTTATACTGGTTTATTTACAAAGTTTGAATATACTTTTTTACACCAGATCTTTCCCATTTCCTTCATACACTCCCACCACATTGTGTGACCCTATGATTAACCACCCCTCCATCCCAGCCCCTCGCATCTTTACCTCTCTACTTCTACCATCCCTCCTCCTTGGATCCTCATACTCATTCTACAATAATAGTTTTATACAGTATTTGTCCTTCCATCTCCTTTTGATGCTTCCTAGATTGTTCAAGATTTTGCCCATAGCATTTCTCAATATTACAACTTAAAGCTTGAATTTACTTTTAAGTTCTTTCAACTTGAGAAATGCCTGAGTTCTTCCTTTTTTATTGTCTAGCTCCAGTTCTTTCCACTTTCCTTTATAATACTTTGCTTCGTCCTCTTGAGCTGCCTTTTTAAATCTTCTGTTCAGCTATTTTACTTCTGTGTTTCTTCCCCTTTTTTGGCTTCTCAATACTCTAGTACAATTTTCAGTCTCTTCTGTCATCTTTTTGGGTCTTTTCTACCTCCTCTATCTTTATGGATGTTATCTTTGATGTCATCACATACATAACTCATCTGGTCTTTGATCATTAGTGTTCAGTGCCTCATTTTTATTCTGGAGTGATTTTTAAATCAAGTAGAGTAGACTCAACTTCATTGTAATTCTTAGGGGATTGTTTTTATTTTCTTCAGCTTCATTTTGAACTTGCACATGAGTAATTGATGGTCTGTAGTACAGTCAGCACCTGGCCTAATTATAACTTCAGGTATTGAGCTCCAACGATTCCTTCCACAGATATAGTCAGTCTGATTCCTGTGCAGTCCATCCAGTGAGGTCTATATAGAAAGTCACCTTTTGTGTTTTTAAAAATGGTGATGAATAAAGCCTTGGCTTTACAGAATTCCATCATTCTCTGTCCAGTCCTCTTTTTTTTTTTTTTTACACCAAGACTGTGCTCTCTGACTATCATTTCTTCCATATTGTTTCCAACTTTTGCATTCCAATCACCCATAATGATTAATGTATCTTGATTACATATTTGGTCAATTTCAGACTGCAGAAGTTGGTAGAAATCCTCAATCTCCCCTTTTTTGTCTTTATTGGTGCATGTATTTAAATAATAGTTGTTTGTATAAAGATAATATCCTATCACACACAATATTGTACTTTAAGGTAGATCTTGAAATTGTCTTTTTCACTATGAATGTAATACCATTCTTCCTCAGTTTCTCATTCCCAGCACAATCATATGATTTTCTGATTCAAAGTGGCCCATACCATTTCATCTCAGCTCACTAATGCCTAAAGTGTCAATCTTCATATGTCCTGTTTCATTTTTTACAACTTTCACTTAGCTGCCAGCATACATTAACAATGGGAATGTGGAATTCTGACTCATAGTGATATTGTATATACAGCATCATCAAATTGTTGCTGTGTTTAAACTCATAATTACAGCCACTCTATCAGCCCATCTTGTTGAAAGCTTTCTCTGTATTTGCTGACCCTCTATCTTTCTCTGGGGACTTGTTCCCTCTTGATATGATGTTTAAAGTACATGTACATGAGACAAAAGTCTCACCCTCCTCCATTATAGAGAGCATTCTGGCTGCACTTTCTCCAAGACAGTTTTGTTTGTTCTTCTCTGCCTGTTTGCTGTTAGCTTTTTCCTTAAAAATTAGTGAGTCAGGGGAGCTCTGGAGGCCTAGAGGCAAGAAGCTACACTGCAATCCCAGAGGTATGTGGTTCGAATCCACCAGATGCTCTGCTGGAGAAGGAGGAGCTATCTCCTCCTGTACCAGTCAGATCTGATTTGACGGTACACACACAAAAAATAACTGGATAAATTGTGTATACTTCACTGAAACAGATGAGGGAGAGAATAATTTAAAAGCAATGTATGATAGGGTATTATGGTTATCACAAGAGTCCACAATCAAGGTTGCATAGTGGAATGTTCTTGGGGTGGTGGGAGGGGTGTGGGGGAATTGTGTACCAGGCAGGGAGTGTTTTACTTTTCAAAGAGAGGAGCGAACTTGGGGGGGGCAGGGGGGAGCTGGGTGGGAAGAGAAGTGCAGCCATGAATGA